TCCTACTTCATTACCACAGAAGGCTGCCACCATAGAGATGCTGGACAGCATCAACAAGAAACTCCTGATCCGAGCAGATAATAGATTCCGAGGCCGTATGTGTACAAAATTGAAAAAAATATCTATATATTTTTAATATCTTGTGTGAGAGTGCGCATGCGTATTATTAATGCTTTAAATAGTTCACCTATTAACTTCAAAACAACTGTTTCTTTTTTTTTGAAGTTCGCCCCTTATCTACTTTTTGTCCTTTGTACACCGCTAGAATTAATACCTGTTTTCTAACGATACTAATTCGTCTCTGGGAAATCTTCATTGTTACCTCTTCAACTATGCAAAACACTTTCGATTAGAGCAAATGGTATCACCACAAACCAAATGTTATTATCGAAATAAAAATTTCAATTACTCTGGAACACTGAAATCCATTATGCACAATTCAAGCAAATAAGTCTCTCACTGCTGTGAACAAGGACATGCAAGTCTGTCCGTGTGTCTGATCGAACGAACCACACAAGTGAAGATAAAAGAAACCAAAATATAGAACAAGTACCAGATTATCTCCCGGGTACTAAAAAGCTACTGAATGTAGAATCAGTGTTGTTTTCATAATCACTTTAAAGCCTCCTCCCCAAAACAATAGGCAAGGGATTGTAAGAAATGAAGATTATTGGAAATGTTGAGGTTGTCCAGACTTCAACAATCCTGGGGGTCAGCTAGAATACTGAGGAAGGTAATCCCTAGAGGCAAGAACCAATTGTGAACATGCACATATACAAACCATAATAATAATATTTCTGATACCTCTTATACTGATAAATTTGATCGTCAAATTAAAAACGATTGTTTTGCCAAAAACGATAAGGACAGAATTGCCCCAATTCTCGATAGTTATTCGAAAAAGTCATATGGATTGGTCCGCTGGATTGAGGGTGGCGGGGTTCGTAGGAGGGTCAGACTTTGTTATTCGGTGACTGACTACAGAGTTTCAAATCTCTTGAGATGTTGATAATGAGGCAAGCGATGAGAGAAACACAAGTGAAAGAAAGAAAGAAAGAAAGAAAGAAAGAAAGAAAGAAAGAAAGAAAGAAAGAAAGAATATGAAAATAAAAGGATAGCTGAAAAGTTCTAAGCCCAGTTAAGGAGCTCTTCTAAAAATGTAATGTTTAGGTATTTGTCAGATTTGAGGAAGTGAGACGTGTCAAAAAATTTCACCACTTCCTAAAAAATAAAAGCACAAAAAAAAAAAACAGAAAGAAAATAAGAGAGAAATAAGATCGAGTAGTCTGTATTGAGTATTTGTGGTCTTTTGTAAATTGTAATAATTAAACAGAAGAAAGAAAGAAAGAAAGAAAGAAAGAAAGAAAGAAAGAAAGAAAAAGAAAGTTCATAATTTGAAAGTGAAATAAAAAATATCTTATTGGAAACAAATTAAATAAAGAAATTATCAATGAATATTTGAAGGAGAAAGGGAAAACTGTGTTATTCTAACGAGAGAAAGAACAGACGAAAAATGGTACCTGAAGAAGAAATAAATTAAACAGTATTTAAGAAAGAAAGAAATAAAGATGTCTCAATAAGATGAAATTAAAACGTTAAGAAAAAGATGCTATTTGAAAGAATAAAATGACTAGTTGAAGAAAAGAAAAATAACGCTATTCTTAAAAAGAAAGAAAGGAAAAAGAAGGAAATAAAGAAAGATGTAATTTAGAGAAAGAAATAGCTAAAAAGAAAAAAGAAAGGACGAGATACAAGAAGGATTACGGGAGGCGGGGGACGAGTATTGAGCGGGTGCCAGTTGAAATCCAGTTTTGCACTGTCAAAGAAAGATGATTTACATACATTAATCGAAATCGCTATTAGCATACACAGACGAGGAGACAAACAACCAATCTCTATACAGAATTCCTTCCTTCAGCGAGAGATACACACGAATAAACCTCGACTTTTACTGAAAACACCGACAAGCATATTTCGAAGGATTGATTGATTCAACAACGCATAGACATTGACAGAGAAACTAACCTCACAATGCCGCATTTTCTGTACCGCAGTTAAGGAATATCTTTCATTTTTATCTTTCTTATTGCAGGTCTTGGTTTTTAATCGAAGATCTACTTCCAATACAATCTTGATGATAGCTGATATGACTAACAAAGGACAAGCAAATTTTGTAACAGATTGGTGCGTTGAAAGGTTTTTTGAAGTATATCGAGGATTTATTTCTAGTAAAATCTGGGCGCTTTGTGGCTAAGCTTTGTGGCTAAGCATCTCCCCAGAACGTGGAAATCTGGTAAAACTAATCGTAAGAGGGACATATAGTCTACTATAAATTATGCATATGGGGAAAATTTCTACATGTATTCTATGTATTATTCATTTTAATTTATTTTTTTTACTCACACCTCTACGTAGAGTCGGATAAGATTAACACTAAGAATTTATCGTAATCGGGCCTCATCATATTTTCTCATAATGTCAGAGGGATTTCCTGATGATTGCATTTTATATCGTCTTAAATCCAAGATAGTCAATTTGATCTTTCAAAGCATTTTTCTGACTAACAACAAAAAAAATGAACTGATGCAAAGCTTTACTTCATGTGCAAAACGTCTACAATAAACATGTTCTCTTGCAATCATCTCCGCCATAGCCGGTCCCAAGACCATGATTTACATTTGGCACTATGCAGGTCACTTCCGTCGAAAATTTTCTTGGAAAATCTGAGTATTTACTGGCTGTTGAACAGATTCCATTAAAGTCAAATGGAATTTCAAAATTCCTTCAAAGTGGATACAGAGTGGTAAATAAATACCCCAAAGGGTCGCGCGCCTAAAAGACACTTTAACTCTGTCAAGGCTGGGATGTGAAGATTGGTCAACTCCAGTTCAGACAGCCAAATTCCATTTTTGGTCTGATCTGACACTTTTTTAACATAAAACAGAGTAGGAAGAGCGCACAGAACTGTGTCTTTTTACAGCATCGATGAATCGTATATATGAGTTCCACTTGAGGTCTGGGGTGAACTTGAGACCCAATAGACTTTCATTGAGAGCGTAACCATTCATTGTGACCGGGGACATTTCAGAGTATGCACGGTGATTCGGTGATTTCGAAACGTTATTTGCTTGATTCTGGAGATATTGAAAGTTAAAAGCCAGTTTTTTTTCCCTTAAGCTCCATTAGGACATAGAGGAAATCCACTGCCAGTCTATCGTCATTTCGATTTAAACAGGAGCGTCCATAAACTGTGGTATTATCTGTATAAATATTTACCAATGTTATAAGATTGTTCCTAAACAAATCGTTATATTTGCTTAAAAATCTAACGATTTACTTATATAAAGTAAAAAGATTATAACCATAGAGAAAGTCGAATAATTGCGAAGAGTCTTCCAGAGTTTCCATAGAAGGAATGTTTGTGTAGTAACCACCAATGCCACTTTCTGTCAAAGACCTTTAAGATAACTAAGGAGATCGCTCTCGTGATGAATTTATTGTCGAGTGCCTCACTGATTCTGTGTAATGACAGTTAAATCATCAGCAATGGACCTAGAGGAGCGATACTCATACTGCTTGTTGCTCACGAGGTTGGTTCTACCGTGGTGATTAACAACCGTCTTGTCGATAATAGACACAAAGAGTTTGCTGATTACACTAAGTCTGCTGAAGGAACGATATTTCGACGGGGATGAGCACACATTCGCGCAGCCTTTTTTTTTCAGACTTCATTACCAGATTCCGACAAGCTTCATCATTATTCATATCTTCAGCTTTCTGTACAAATTGGCTCATGGTCTAGATTCTGATTTGTCCTCGATAAAACATTACTATTATTGACTGTGAACTATATCTTGCCTAACTTTGACATGTGATCATTGTCTTCTTGGAATGTTCACTGTTATTCCAGCCCAAGTTTTTCGGCAGAGTGTTTGATGTTGCGGTCCAAAATCTCTACATGTTCTTTCTTCATGATCCCACCCACTTTACCTAGGCGCACTGGCTGAAATACGCTCCCATAACATAAATCTTTCCCCCCACCGTGATTGACTGTTTGGACAGTGTTATTTTTTGTTGAAATATCACTTCTTTTTTTCACCAAACATGTCATCAGCCTGTGCTGAAGAAACTCAATTTTTGTTTCATGTGACCAAAGAATCGATGGCCAAAACTTTGATTTTCGTCCAAGTGATATTTACCAAATACTAGAAGAGCTTTTATGTACCTGGAACATTGAAGTCTTCTTTGATAAGTTTCCATGAAAGCCAGCCTGATGTAAAGTTCACTGTAATGTCTGCCGAGATATTTTAATACAAAGTTTTAAAAAGAGGATGACAAATATATTTGGTGGTAATATTCATTTGAATTGTTCTTTACATCGCTGGAGACATCTTTTAGTTTTTTCTTTGTCTTTTATGGTGTTTCATTCTGTTGATATGCTTGAAGTTGATGTTTTTGATAATATTTTTAACTGTTGGAACTTGCAAATGAACTTAAATACAATCAATATCTCTTCATTGTGGACAGTCACAACTGTTAACTTGTCATCCTCGTTAAGTTCTTTAATCTTAATTATAATAAGTATTTTCTTTCTGACGACAAATTATGAATATTGCAAATGCTAAGCCCAGTTCTGAATCGCACAAACAAAATAAAATTGTTTAAATTCGTTTTAAACGAAGTGAGAAATTTTATAATGTAAGGAAGTAAACTTAAATTGCAAAGGTATGAACAATTTAATGGTTTCTCAATTAATTCGTTTTTTGCAGCTTAGCAGGCTATTTAAAGCCAGAAAATTTTTAGATTGTAAGAATTATTTTTTAGGAAAAAATTTTAGTGGTACAATTTTTACTAATAAACCCATAGCTGGGGGAGAAAATGTGGATTCATAACTTTTATTAGTGAATAAGTTTGTTATAACAAACCCAACAGGAATTGGAACTCGCCTCTCCGATTAACAATTCTGAATCATTATCCATTACGCCACCCGCACATCCAAGCTTACAGCTCCTGATATTCCCAAACGGACATCCATCTAGGTACTGACTAGGTCCGACGTTGCTTAACTTAGGTGATCGTACCAGAACTGGTGTTTCAACATGATGTGGTTGTAAGCGAACAATTTCAGATTTAATTGTATATTCACCCCCACGCACACAATATATATATATATATGTATATGTGTGTGTGTGTGTGTGTGTGTGTGTGTGTGTGTGTGTGTGTCCTTGCTTTGTATCTTCACATAATCAATAAATCCTTGTATCTAGTCTTACGTAGGATATAACAAATAGATTTCTTTTTCTGTTTTTTATATTAATATAAAATAATTTCGTTAAGGTTTGCCTGTGGGTTCTGTTCTAAAAATTGCTTATTTTATTCTGAGAAAATATAGTGATGTTCATTATCGCAATACTTAATGATTCACTTCTTTAATTTTTTTGGTGGGGTGAGCGTAGCGTATAAGATATTGGCGGGGAAAATAAGATTGATGAAACAAATTCCAGCTGAGTTCAAATTCCAGTCAAGATCATTGCATTTGTAAACATACAACGCGAACTTCCCCTAAGCTTCCCGTCGCCCAGGCAATAATTTTCTAACGTTACTTTTTCGTTCACAATTCATTTAAAAGGTCCGCTGTTGCTCACAAGGTAAGAAGAGGAAACACAAACGCTACTTTTAGGAATAAGAACGCGAATCTTGTCCTCCGATATTTTAAAATAGATGTTTTATTCAGAGTCTTGTCGGCTTGTCTGCGTGGGTAGGTAGGTGATAATTGGGACAACTTCTGCTATGTGGGTCTAACAGCTCAGCTCTTACCCCTACCAACTTCTCACCCACCTACTCATCCCGACGTGATGTATAACAATACAAATGGACGTCACAGTAACCTTACGACGGACACATCCGTCTCAAGGGCGGATCTGAACTTTCTCCGAGCCATGACTGTTAATATAAACCAGTACCCAGACATACCCTATTTCCGGTCTTTTGGCCACTTGATCTCCAAAAACGCCTCATCCACTCCTTTACTTCTGGATTACCCTTCCGTCAAAATGGATGCCGCTTAGATGCCGCGTCTATCCAAAGTATCACTTATTTTGCAATGTCAATGAACACTCGTTGACACTTTCGTAATGCTCGTTGTAGTAGAGACTTTGTAATCGCAGATACAACTTAGTAACGCCGTTGAACAATACTAATGTCAGCCGCCTTCGAGTAACACACGCACTAATAGTACTTGCTCGATAATACTAGCTCGAATAGTAACCACCGAATAGTAATCAGTATAGATAAATAGCACAGAGACTATCGATCCGTATAGTAATAGAGGATAGAATAGAACGAGTGGACGTTGTGACGTAACGCTACCTCCTACTAATGCGTTACCTTTATAATCACGTGATTTGCTTATTCAAAATGGGATCGCCTGTGTTTGCATTTCGATTGCCGAACCTCATTGGTGTACACCGAAAACTGATGAAGGGTCCACTGCATGCTCACAAGGTAACAAGATGAATGACAAACGCCACGTCGAGAAATAAGAACACTCTGCTGACACTGTTTCCTACATTATGTGTAGTTGTCTTATTCAGGGTCTCGTCTGGGTGCCTAGGTACGTGATACTCGCCCATGTACACCCATGTCGCCGATGTGTGACTAGCAGTACAAATGGACGTTACAGGAACCACGCAACGGACACGTCTGTCTCTCGTCAAGGGTGGACTAGATTTCCCCCCGGTCCCAAACATAACTGTTAATATAGACCAGCACTAGGATATACCCAGTTTCTGGTTTTGTTGTCACTTGATCTCCAAAAACGCCTCATCTTCTCCTTTACTCTTGGATTACCCTTCGGTCAAAGTGTATCCTGCTTAGTAAACCGAAATTCAAATGGATCCATCTGCTGGTTCAGCAAACAGAAACATTTGAAATGAAATTCGACAAGAATCGAAAAGGAAATAATCGTTCGATTTTTCTTTAGTCCTTGAAAATGGCCAATAGATTACCTCAATCGCTCGGATCGAACAATGAATTGGTCAGTTTCTACACAAAAAAGAGAAATCTGTTGTTGTACAAGAAAACAATAAAAACTTAACGGAATTACCTTGTCAGTTATTTTGAATGAAATACATATAAATTATCTTCAAATCGAGTGTATTTGTGAAGGAACAAAATTAATATAAATACAAGAGAAAAATCTATTCTTAGTCAACGCGTTTCGTCCTCTGAGGAACTTTATCAAAGTCAAAGGATTTTGCCTTGATAAAGTCCATCAGATGATGAAACGCATCGGCTAAAAATAGCTTTTCCTCTTGTCTTTTTATTCACAATGAAATATATATTACAGCGGGATTTCTGTCTAAATACATATATACAAACATACATACTTACATACACACAAACACACACACACACATATATATATATATATATATATATATATAATTGTGTATTTAAGCAGAAATTCATTATTTATATATGTTTTAATTAAAAGCAACAGACTAGTTACTGCGATTAAGTTTTATATTTAATTTTTTCTTGTGTTCGAACCAGTGTTTTCTTTTCTGAACACAGATTGTGTAGAATTTGTCTGAATGTTCTGTAATTACGAACGCTTTCGATTATTCTTTTAGATGATGATTTTATTTTGCGTTTTAACAGGGTCTATCGGTTGTGTGTGTTTCTGGAGTTATAAGAATGTTTTATTTTCCGAACACAGCACATTGTGGCCGTGTGTGTGTGCGTGTGCATGCGTATGTGTGTATGTGTGCGCGCGTGTGTGTGTGTGTGTGTGTGTGCATTCACTTGCTTACAACGCATTAATAGCAAGTGCAGCATCAACTTGAAAACCATGTAACATATTGCACATTTTTACTGAACTGCCAACTCTATGCTCAAGATTTGGTGCATCACAATTAAACTAGTTCTAAGGACAAAACTGGTCCAACCCGGTACTAGAAGGGTATGAATAATGAATAAAAAACAGTATCTTTATGTTTTTAATGATGATGATGATGATTTGCAAGTTTTACTTTTCAGCTATCACTATCACTATATTTAATCTGACACAGAGCCCATAAAATTTGGAGCGCCCCCATGAGGACAAAACTCAATTACATCAGCGAATGATCCGGAGAGATTTACTTGTTAAACACAACAGCTTACAAAATTTTAACAATCTCTATAAAGAACAATGTACTGCAAAGAAATTGGATAATTGGTGTCACACCGTCTGCCTATAAGTTAATTTGCTCTGAGTTGGCCTTGTGTCATACTTTCCCACTTTTGTTACAAGGTGTGTATTTTGAAAAGATGAATGAATCCAAATGTCGAGAACAATTACAAAGTGAAACAAACAAACAATAAATATGAAAAGCGTTGTTTTAATCAGGATTCCAGTTTTCATTTTGCTCCTTAAAAGAAAAAGAATCGAAATCGAAACGCCATTTATTATGCTTCGTCCATGAAACACTTTTTCTATATAATAGAAATTAAGGAATTTCTTTCTCTTATCTCTTCCATTCTGCAATCTCTTTCTCCCTCCAGCCTAATATTTATCTACCCCAATTTGGACTTGTGGCACACACACACACACACACACACACACACACACACACACACACACACACACACACACACACACACAAAAGCATACATACGGAACAAAAGAGTAGGTTGGAATAAAAAGTAATTTGGAATATTTACGCAAAATTAAAATGTTTTCAAAACAAAAAATAGAAGTAGATGAGGTTGGAATAAACGGGCATGTTGGAAATAAATGCCCAATAAAATAAACGATGGGAGTCTGTAAAAACAGTGGGTAAACTGTGAAAGATCAAAATTTAAATAGCCGACCAGGCCTGTGTATTGCCCTTTCATTTATAGTCCTCGACAGATTTCCGTTCTTACGATGCGTCGTAAGGCGAAATTCCGTGTAAGTACCTGGAACGTACCCGCGATTTTCCCTGAATAAGCATTTACGTCACTCACTTACGGAATCAGGATGATCCCGGCATTGAAAATCTTTCATCTGGAGCTTGAACCTATACTATTGGAATATGAGTCCGAATGAGGAAGGAACAGTTAAAAATTCAAATTTTAAAATAACTGAAAAAAATTAGTAATTTTAAAAGATATTAATTTATATTTATTTTAAAGTAACCTAAAAACTTTGTGAATTAAAAAAAATTGTTTTAAATTCAGTTTAAAATATCTCTAAATCATTGTGAATTGAGAAAATCAATTTTATTTCTTAAAAATTCCAAGAAATCAGAGTTAAAGTGAGAGGTTTTGCGATGTGAGGTTTTGAAGTTCCGCAGAATTTATGATTTCAAGAACTCAACTCAATTGAAGTTCCACGTAGTTTGTAACTTGAAGAACTCAATTTGGGGGCTGAATTGGAATTTTGGCCCCAAATCGAAGTTTTGGTCCAAATCGTATTTTTGACCCAAATTAGTGTTTTGTCCAGAATTGAACTTATAGCCCAAATCAGAGTTAAAGTGAAGTTTTGAAGTTCCATGGAGTAAATTAAGGAATTCAAAGTTATTTCTTCAAAATTATTATTGCTGTTTTCTAAGCTGGAGCAAAGTTTTGGGCCGGAAGGCCAATTATCCCTCCGCAGAAGCTAACTCTAAATCCGCCTGGAGTTCACCTATTAAGCTAGTATAAGAATAGATGTATAATTAAAACAATCAAGACTTTCCTTTTAAAATACATCGCTTTCTTTGGGCAATGAAAAACACGTCCGTTCACTCTAATGTCAGCATTTCCAATATATATCCAATATTGCGTTTCACCATATATATATATATATATATATATATATATATATATATATATTAGATTCGCCTATCGTCCGGTTCATGCTCCTCCCGGTCTTTGAACAGGATTAGAGATGTATTCCTTGTTTACTGTTTCGGACTGGGTTTCCGGTTTCTTATAAAGCCTTCTCATTCTCTTTCCCTTCCTGTATCCCATTGCGTCTTGGCGGCATTGTCACCATGCGTGAGGTGAATTGAGTTTTAAAAATACATATATATATATGTGTGTGTGTGTGTGTGTGTAATTGAATTAAGGTTTCTTTTTGTGGCTCATGTGTATTAAATGCATT